TTAAAATATCGTACCAAATTACAAACAAGCTGTTAAATCTATAATTTTGAATGTTTAAAGCTAGCGAATGAGCTTTGTGAGATGTAGTAGAATCCCATTCCGACGAATTATCAGATATTTCCAGCAAAGCATCGAATATTTTTTCGAGATGATACAGTAATGGTTTGACTGCATCGATTCTGCTAGACCATCGCATGGCACTTAAAGCTTTTAATTTGAAATCTGGTAAATGTTTGCCAATTATCGACCACCTTTTTGTAGACGATAAAAAGAAAACGTAAATTTCTTGAATTATATTTTAAAAAATCACAGTTTCGTGCGTAATATTTGCTGCATCATTGACTACTAAATTGAGACTATAAGCCGAACATGGAACGTAAAATGCGATTATTGATTTTCAAATTGTTTTTTGCAATCCATTGTGTTTTCCACGCATATTAGAACCATTCTCGTAACATTGACATCGTAAGTTTTGAATTTTGAGGTTTAATTGTGAAAATAAATCCAAAACAAAATTTAATAGATTTTCACCTGTGCAGCTGGTGATTAGACAGAAACCAATCAAATTTTCGCATATTGCAACATTTTTAGTTTCATTGTTTAAAAGAACATGCCTGAGTACAACTGTGATTTGTTCTGTGTGACTTACATCTGCTGTGCAATCTAATGTGATGGAGAAATGTTTTGATTCACTGACTTTGTCCAGTATATAATCTTTTATGGTTGTCAGGAGTAAATCAACGATTTTATTCTGAATTTGAACTCCTAAATAGTGAGTCATACGACTCGAATCAGATCTCGAGGATTGAATTCTGTGAATATGTTCTCGCATGACTGAATCAAAGGATGCTATCATTTCGATTGCTTTTAGAAAATTACCATTATCGTGCTCATATAATGTTTTTGACAAGCCCCGAAAAGCCAGACACTGATCAGATTAAAACTTGATAGCGGCTATGATTCTTTCTAACACAACAAATCATTGTTTTTTTTCTAATTCTAATAGTCTCAGTTGCATTTGATTTACAGTAGTTTTATTTTTTAATATATTATTCAATTGTACCCACGATTTCACATTTTCACTCTGGGAAACGCTTGTTTTATGACTTTTAAATGTTAATGATAAATGCTGCCAATCAGAAAAACCGTTCAAAGAAGACAAACTACTTACAGTTTTACTAAATATCTTACAACAAAAACAATAGACTGAATCTTTTGAAATAGATTACACAAGCCATTCTCTGTTAATTTTTTTCCATTGGGAAAATTTCTAGAATAATAATTGTCTGCAAACTTTCTTCCAGTGTCATTAGCAAGAAAATTGTAGTTAAACAATTTTCTTGCTAATGACACTGGAATGTACGGGACCACGACTAACCAAAATATTAACAAGATCATTAGTCATACTTGCAGGCCACAAACCGTGATCATTACCACAATCTAAACTGCTACATATTAATGATGACGATAAATTGCTTACAGGTTTTTCAGTAGTACCGTCTCTTGTTTTATAGTTTTACTAGAGTCTCTTTCCGAAGGACTACAACATACAATTTTTTCTTCACATACCTGTCTATAGCTTCTGGATTTAACACTGTGCTTGTTGAAGCTACGTAAATATTTTCTTCACATTCCGTTTACTTATTTTCTGGCTTGCTTAAAAATTATATTATACAACCCGCCAGTTTTTCTTTCTGTACTCGTTTTTGCTGTCAAAATTGCGCTCTTGATAGTTTTTTCCTTTTCTGCAGTTTCTGAAATTTTTCGTAAACTGTATTTTTAAAAATTTTTAATACAATAATATGCAAACATAACCAATTAGAAAAAGGACTATTGGGAATAAGACGGCTTTTGGGTCAGATGTCCTCTAAGAATTCTATATAGCCTGTACTGACTACGAAATCATACCATGTTCGTAGTCAGACTGATAGTAGACGTTATATTTGCTCTGTCTGTTACTTTTGATATTATTAAACTGTTTTATTTTTGCACCAGAAATTAGTTACTTGTATTTAAAGCTTAGTTTAAAAAGTTAGAAAATTTATACCGGTGCTTTAAATATAGTTTAAGTAAATATTTGCAAAAACCGCATGAAAAAGCGTGATTATAAAATTAAAGTTATTGTGATAAGCCGATAAATAAACGTAGGTACTTACCATAATTACGATTTTTTGCACTTTTCTTTAGGACTGACAGATGATACTTTGAATTATAATCACACTAACCAAGTTAAAATATCATTAATTATATCTAGACCCATGTCAGAAGAATTATTAACAAAATAATTGCAATTCGATATGCGATAGAACTGTTCAAATACGTACAAGTACAAATTGAGAGGGGAGCTCAGTGGGGATTTCCTAATTTCGCCATTCTTGTCAACTTCTGTCATAGAGCACGACTATAGATACAGTACTTGGCTTTCGGGCGCCGCCGGATGGTTCAATCCGCTGACAGACGTTTTGCATTGCATCTTAGTTCTGATTTATTCCGATAGATGACGCGGTTAACGCCATAATATAAATAAGGAAATAGTAATTGCGCGCAGGTAAAATTTTTTCTCCATGCGAAAACATTTCTGATGCTATAGATAGCGTGGGTATTATGACAATGACTTTAAATATTACGTGATCGATCGATCGATTGCTACCCCCTAGATGTGACGCCCGCGTGCAATGCACGCCTTGCACGCCCGTTTACGGCGGTCCTGACTGTTACCACAGTGGCGTAGCGTAGGTGTCAGCTGCCCGGGCGGAGGAAAATTTCGCCCACCCTTATTTAGTTATCTCAATTTAAAAGACTAAAATTCAGTTTCGTCACAGAATAAGTAATGAAAAATTCCGTGCTAGTGTTGCCACCTTATTAAAATCGCTGACCCGGACGGCAGGTGAGGTTTGTTCGAATAGAAGTTCCTGACGCATGCGTATGTCATTTTGCAATGCGAAGAATAATGTGCAGTGCATGCTGGTTCTAAATCAGTTACAGTTAGCGACTAGGGAGACTTGGATAGGAGTAACGCAAGTGACCTACCTCTATTGGATATTGGAGGTGTGTATATATATATACGAATAAATCGTACAAGCAAAATAAAAAAAAGTCAACAGGTTGCGCACGATATTCCCGGACGGCGAGTCGATTCACGGACTATCCGGATGGATGGTCCGGCATGGATGGTCCGATTGAAATGAGCACTATTCCGTGCTCATTTCAATCAGTCCGAGTAGTAGGTGGACCAAAATATGAAATAAAATGGTTCAAATTCTTACAAGATATTATTATTATTATTATTATTATTTATTGTGAAATTTTGCCGCCCCCTAAAAAGTGCCGCCCGAGGCGGTCCGCTCCTGCCGCCCCCACTACGCTACGCTACTGTGTTACCATACTATTCCAGGCGTGATCTGTTCGTTTCTTTTGACCAATTGTCATTGCTTATGCCCAAAGACTATATTTAGTCACATTCAATCATTTATTGTTTACCCATTAAGTTACCAGATTTCAATCTTGTCGATAATCTCGTAACTGATTAAAATTACATGGAAGTTTTCTTCCGTAGTACATTTTGACCAACTTAACATTGGATAGTATACTTCTTTTTTCAAAACGCTTTCCTTTCTGTGAAAATTAAGAGGGCTCTTTTACATACCCATTGTGGATTCAGCCAGGCAGTGAAGAAGGAGCTCTCCACAAACCAACTCCCATAATTAGTAAGGTTTTTTGATTCGACTAGATTTGTTCCTGATGGTTAAAAAGTTGAAATTCGAACTGTTTAATTATGATAAATATTGTTAGTTTTGTGTTTACATCGATTAATTACCGCCAAAGTTTAATCATTTTAAAAGAGATTGAATAATTTATATTCGATACTGAATGAGATGAAATTATAACTACAATTTGTACACAGTTTATATTTTAAGTTATGTATAATATTTAATTCATTTTAAAAATTTTATAATTATGAATTTAGAGGACATATTGTGATTGACACATTGGTTGCAATATTAAGAATATTAACAGAAATTAATATATTTAACAGTGCATTCACTCCGTTCATTTACAAAATAAGATCTGCTTTTTCGCCTTTATCTCAAGAATACATCTTAATCAACAATACATCGAAAACAATAGGTAACAATGCTGTTAAGGAGTATAATTATACATCGTTTATTAACAACTCAGAAGCATATACAAACTGTGTTAAATAATGCGCTATTCTAATTAATTTAATGAACTGTCACAAAATATTTGTTAACATTAATCCGATGATAATTATTTGATATTCTATTCGTTACTTAGTAGATGCAATATTAACTATTTTCTTCGTGTCTCTACACATTAAAAAATCTGTATAGCAATATAAAACTACTAAAACATTACTAAATTCAAATAACTGGCTTTTGATGCACGTTGCTTCAAAATAAATAAAACGGGATTACATTAATTTAATTGTAATTAAACAATCAAATGAACTTAACAATTACCGTGAATCAATTAGGCTACAGTATAAGTAAGTGTCTTTATAAGCAAGTGTCTTTAAATCAGTATTCGTTCTGATATTCTGATACAATTATTGTATATTACTGTTTAGTTGACTACTGGTGATCGTATATTTGAGAAAACCTATGTTTAAGTAATAAATACGAAAAATAATTTCAGCCGTTTTCATTCGAATGAGAGATGTTTGTGAAGATCTGACAGCTTCTACGAATTCTGGATTCATTCTTCAACTTTAATAATCCCGAAAACACGGAATGCAGAGTTGTGGCCATCTGCAAATAAAGAACATGAATAATTATTTAAATGATTGGAGTATTAATTAACGTGTTGCAGAGATTTCTCGTATTACGCGAGGGTTTTTGTTTTAAAATCACAAGTACCAAATTTAAATTTCGCGTAATATAAACAAAATTTCGCTATTCGAACTAATGAAACATTGGAAAGTTGTGTTCTCTGCGAGTGAATTTCATCTTATTAACAGACAAAAATAAAAATGACGAATCGCTCCGTATTTATGAATAGTTTTAATATGAAAACTGCAAACATAGAACAAATCGCAAAATGAGAAAAATCGCTCCATAAGAAAATTCAATGTTGAAAACGAAACATTGTGTTATGAAAATTATTGGCCTATTACAAGAAATCTTTCTATAAACTGCAAACAAAAATTAATTCTAGAAAAGTGTTCGACTGGTGAGCAGCAGCATGAAATTTAATCAAACTTTTTAATAACGATAACAGTTAAAGAAGTAAGCAATTTTTCAATGTGTCAATGGTAAATTTTCTTCAGGTATCGATGAAAAACGTGTCGTATGTAAACCTTTAGCGTTACAGCAGTAGTCTTCATCCTTGCATTGCGCGTAGTTTCGATTTGTGAAAGCATTTTTACAATATAAATTGATTTCTATTGCGTAATTATAAAAGCGTATTTCAGAATTGACAGAAATTTAGATCTTAAATAATAATCAAAGACACCACGTCAATGAACCTACCTTCTGAGGAATCCTCTTGTTGACACAAAAGAAACCTCCTATCGTCAGACACAAAGACACTTTTCCGAATCTTTTCATGAAATTCAATATCTAACAAAAAATTTGTATTAAATATAATTTATTAAAATAAATCAGAATTATAATAAAAGTAGAATGAAAATAAATCTGTACTTTAAGCTTTCTTTCCAGTTCCAAATGGCAGATTGCAAATTGACGAACGTCTTGAAATCCATTCTGCATCTAAATAATTAAAATTACATTAATAAATCGAAAATTGAATTAAAGTTTTAAAAATTAAAAAAATTAATCAAGTGTAAATAACGCGTACCGTAAATGCGATGCAGCATAGCAAACAGCCACAGATAATGCAGATGAATGAAAAAACAATCATCAGTGCCAACACCCAAATTCTAAAAATCCAAGGCATATCGATATACAAGTATGCGTAATACAAAAAGCTCGTGCCCCAAATTATTCCGAAATAAGCAAGTACGAAAGCCAATTCGAATTTTGTGTTCAACTGATTCATGTAAATCCACAATTCTTGGTGACGAATCATCGAATTTTGTAATTTCATTTTCAAATTTCTGTCGCTTCTTCTTATCGTAGACATTTCGTAATTAAGTTCTTCAAATTCTTTCTGGAGGATAAGTACAAATAAAGCGGCTAACAGTAGACCATACGCAATTCCTCCTATACTTAAAATCATTATAAAACCCAAGTCAACTGTACAAATGAGAGCTTCGAATCGAAATTGTTCTCTGTTTACTAGAATAGGATAATTAACAGTCAAATTAAAAATTTGAAAAAGAATCGTTATTGTTATTACAATGAACGAAACGAAAAATGAGACGTTTCTCATTAGAGTATTGTTTTCCAAAATGAATTTCTCATAGAAATATCTGTTTTTCAATTTAGTAATTAGATTGAGCTTATTGCGATTGATAAAGGTCAGGATGATTGAGTAGCCGCAGATTATAAATAGAAGTGAAGTTTTCATTATTTTAGCATCCTTCTTATATACTTCGTACCATCCAATACACAAAGCATATTCGCCTAAACCTGGTAACGATTGCCATAAGGAAAGGGCAGAATATTGCCATAATAGAAACTGAACACATTGAAGATAGAGTTTTTTTACTTTTTGATTTTTAAAAAAGTATATTCGCTGTTTACAGGGATAAATTCGGTACGGATCTAAACCGAATATAAGGGCTGTTGTCCAACAGGGTCTCAAGAAACAACTCATGCAAATTTCCTCTTGAATATTCGAATTCATCTTGCAGTAGTGGCTTAAACTATGAAACAACGGGATACTTACTCCTAACTGTAGGTTAGGTAAGAATAATTCTGATCACCCATAATTTTATCTGCGTATAAAGTTGCATTAAGAAGAACGAAATTAAATTCTGTCATGCCTTATAAGCCGATGTTTATCACGAATGCATTCCTAGTTAATGGATTTTACCAACTGTACTGCATTTATGTGGTTAGTATGGTAAACAAGTAAATGCATTTTATGCATATTAAAATTCATATGGTCATATTTTATGATTCTATCATTTTATAATAAATATAAAATATGCATGCATTCTAAATGCATTGTGTACGCATTAATTTCTTTACTGTGCCAAAGAATTTAAAGATGTTTAATGAAATTGTGATTTTTCAATAAGAATGAAGAAGAAATCTGCCCAAAATCTAATGGGCAGATTTCGTCTTCATTCTTATTGAAAAATAATTCTCCCTCGGACGAAAGTTTACTGATGAAATTGTGATTCATTTCTTTTTAAAATAGAATAAGGCGATTTTTCGCAGATAATAACAATTACCCGGTACAATTAGATAACATACTCAGCTAAAACTCATATTACAATTCAAAATATAAATATAAACGCGTAAATAAACATTAAACACATTAATTATGATAAAGTATTTTTTACAAATGCTTTAAATTTGTTTAGATCTAGGTAAAACTTGTCCTGGAGATTTTCAATTGCTTTATTATGGCGATACGAAAATGATTGGCTTGTGACACCCAAACTGCAAAATAGCGTGTTAATGCAGGCGTTTTGTCTTTTTGTAACAGAAGAAATACGAATGTGAATATATTGGGAAGGGAGTAAACCATAAAATATTTATAAGTATATATTTGACCAAAGTATTGTATGCGTTTGAAGAAGAGTAAGCGGAAACAGGCAGAGTCTGTAAAAGCTAGGTGAAAAAGTTTATTATTAAGAGTTAAGTAACTTTTAGACAATTAAGTTCATCCAATAAGAAATACCGAGGCCGACGCACAAACAGATAAAGCATAGTGCACATTATTAAAAAAATATTGCACGAAGTGTATTTTGTTGATACAGATTTGAAATTACTCTAGATTATTCTCCCGACGAATAGAAAATTTTTAAATCAAGTTTTCTACGCGTAATTTAAATGACAGTCTGGGATAAATTATTAAACAAAGATTTGAATTATTTTTTTGAGATTTATTGCGAAATTTAATATGTTGAACGATTTGTTTATTTTATTTGTAGCAGTTTGCAGTATAAGTTGATTATGGTTAGCAATATCATCTACGTAGTGATTAATGAATGAAGAGAAAATAAGGGATAAAAATGTATTAATATAAGTGATAAACATAAAATTAATGAGAATTGAACCCTGCGGTATGCCAATTATTAAATTAATTAATAAAGGAAAAAAAATGAATTAGAATATTTTCTATTTATATGTACTGTACAGTACGTAACAGAAAAAAATATATACTTTGTTACGCTCTACAAACGTATCCAAGCTGCCGCTGTTAACGGCTAATGGCTAACAATCAGGGCTGTGGCGTAGCGTAAAAATCTACCGACTCCGACTAAAACACCAAAACTTTACGACTCCGACTCCGGCTAAAATACCAAAACTCCACGACTCCGACTCCGACTCCACAGCCCTGCTAACAATAAACATTTAATTTTGAACCGTTCCTTTTATTTTAAAATCAAATATATAAAAATCCGTTGATGAAATATTTTAAACGCTTACAGAGAAAATTATTGCACTATTAAGGAAACTTTTAATTTAAAATCTCTTAAAATCTCTCATCAAAGTATACACTGAACCAAATAGTGTTTAGGGCCTCGTACTTTAAATATATTATCATTTAAGATAATGATAGGGCTTTTTATAAATTATAATGTAAGGTCTCAATGAGACTAAGCCCACTCCCGTTCTTTTATAAAATGTATTGAAATTTTAAACACATAAATTTGATTTGGTAAACGGAAGTTACACATAGATTAAATTTTTAGTAAATTTCAAAACATTAGTAGGACCGAAATTAGATCCGAATAGGATCTAATTTCGAAATCATCATCAATTCAATATATATTATAAAGGTAAACGCACGATGTTCGTGCCGCTAAAACTGAAAACGAGTCCCGGTACGATCAAGGGAGTTACAGTGGAACCTCGGTATACGACCTTAATCCGTTTCTAGTGTTTGGACTTATACCGAATAGGACGTATACCAAACCAATCTTTTCCATAAGAAGTACAGTAGAACCTCGATTATCCGCCCTAATTGGGGACTGGGGTTGGTCGGATAATTGAAAAGTCGGATAACCGAAAAGTATGAAAAAATCCATTATTAGTGTAGTATATTATTATATCCCATGTAATTAGTATATTAGTATATCGCTATTAACCTATTTTGCGTTGAATTTTCATCGATGTTAAGCCTAACAAAAATTTTTTAAAATAATAATCGTCGCTATTGTATCGTTAAAAATTAGAAAATTAAGCTTCGTTTAAATACTGGCTCCCTTTCATGGTCGAATGAGTGTTGCCAGCTAAAACACGTAAAAATAATATTAAAGTA